TCACGAGGTTTCTCTCTTTCTCTCTCTCTCTCTCTCTCTTTTTCTCTTTTTCTCTTTGTGTCCACACCCCAACCCTTCTTCTACATCTCCCTACTCCACCCTTTTTATTCCACCTCACTTCACTTCACTTTACCATCACTACCACTACCACTATCACCATTACCACTACTACTCTTTTCTATCTCTTTGATGTTAGAGGAGGAGGAGGAGGGGGTGGGGGAGGTAGAGGTAGGGGTAGGGTGAGGGGGAGGGGGAAGGGGGTAGGAAAAGGTGGGATTTATTCAAGCGTATGGTTGAATCTAGTCAAATCACTCGTCATCGTGTTCGGTGTTGCACCTGTCGTGATCAGCACGAAAACATTTGAAATACGCGTTCGTTATTTTTCGTCGTTTAATTATTAGCGTATTTGTAACTTCGTTAATGTTCGTGTTTCTTCGTTGACTTCCGTTGGTGTTACCATACAATTGTCTTTTGTATTTATCTGTCATTCTCTATCGAAAGGTTTGTTAAATAATTATATTTAATTATTAATAGAAATTAAATATAGGTTATGTCTTGTTGTTGTTGTTGTTGTTGTTGAGAGTTTTGTATATTATTTATATAAATTATTGTTTTATTTTATTATTTTGTAGTGGGAATGATTTGACTCGTTTCTAATATTCAAAATGATATACCGGGATTGTTTTTGCGCATGCGCCAAATATTCTTCCTTATATATATATATATATATATATATACGTACGTTAATATGTTAATTTATAAGTACAATAAGAGAATAATAAATTATTATAATGATTAATCCAGTCTCACGTGTTTCTATTAAATAATTATCTTTTTATTAGTCTGTACCATTGTTGTTTTGTTATGACATTGAATATTATGATTATTAATTTTTTTTTCTTTTCTTTTAATTAAATTCTAAAAGTTGTTGTTTTTCCTATCTTCGTTATATTTGTTTCTTTTTTGTACAGAAATTATTTATTACGATGTATATATATATATATATATATATATATATGAATGATATTAATAATCACGTGATCGCAGATGAAAAAAAAAAAACGAATGAAAAACAATGGAAAATAAAAAAGTAATAATTACGATTTTAATAATCACGTGATCGTGATCACGTGATGATAATTGATCATCTATAGGAAAAAAAATGAAAAGAAATAATTATAAACGTAGAAACGGAATTTGTTATTTTTGTGTTGTTTTTATTTCAAAAATGATTTCTCAATTAATCAATTGATCAACGTTGTTAATGGTACTTATTTCTTAATCGCCATTTCCTTTCTTAGATAAATTATAATAGTTTTGTCGATCGAACAATTAACCAACCAATCAGCGTAATCAACCAAATAATATTCAAACGATACAAAAAAAAAAAAATAAAAAAATATGATAATGAGTATTTATTATATATTTTTTAATTATTATTATTATTATTATTATTATTATTATTATTATTATTATAATATATTTTCAATGATATTTCGATATTTCAAATTTATATTAATGATATAAATAATTAACTAATAATTAATCAAACGAGAAACTATTTACGAAAATATTTTTATTAATTATTATAATATTTTTATAATATAATAAATAATAAAAAATAAATATTGTTATTATTATAAAATATATTAGAAATATTTATTTTTAAATTAATTAATAAATGCAATTAAATTAAATTAATAATTTATATTATTTAATTTTATATTTGATATTTTAATTATTATGAATTTTATTAATTTTTAATTAAATATTAATTTAAATTAATAAATTTATTTTTTAAATATATTAAATATTTATATTTATTATTATAATTATAATTAATAATAATAATAATAATAATAAAATAATATTATGCAACAATTAAGAAATAAATTTTGTTGTTTAATTAGATTTCCTTTCGTGGAAAATTATTCTTATTATTATTTTGATTAAAAAGTGAGGGGGTAATAAAAATATGATATCAAAAAAAAAAAAAAAAAAGAAATGAAAGATAAACGAGATATTTATTACAATCATTCTTTTATTCTCATTGACTTATCTTTTGTATTGTCAAGTGGCACAGATTACAATCTGGAATTTCGATCAATTATTTGTTTAATAAAGTTTACACGTTAATAATAATAATAATAATAATAATAATAATAATAATAATAAAAATTATATAGAAATATTAATTAAATAAATGTCTTTTATAAAATTCATTGGAATTATTCATTTTTTTCAGAATAAATTTAAATAAAAAAAAAAAAAATAAAAAAAAACACCAAATGAGGTTAGGACGAAATAAACAATTTTTTTTTAATATTTAATATTTAATAATAATAATAATATTGACATTAATAATAAAACAAAAAAAGAGGATCTCTTCTATGTGTTAGTAAAACGTGTACTTTAAAATGAAATGAAATGAAATTAAGTTAATTAGATTCATTTATTTTTATTACAGTCCCCACCGTATTCTCACGCAACGTTTGTTTTATTTTCTTCTTCGTTTCTTTTTAGGAGGGGTTTTTTTTTTGTTTTATTTTCTTTTTTGTTCAAGCACACGCGTGGTGTTAGCTGCACCCATTATCATTTTAACAGGTAATGGTAAAAATCTCCTATCATAGGATAAATCGATGATCCAAGGACCCTCATACGTTGTCGTCCTTAACAGGAGTGTCATATAACAATTTGTTATTCAAAGTTAACTCACAGAACACGCGAATTGGATTTCACTATCATTTCGTTTTATTTTTTCTTCTTTTTCTTTTTTTTTTTTTTATGAAGAGAATTCATTATATTTAATATTTACCTTATAATCTAATCGATAATTATCGATTTTTGTATTTTTTGTATTTTTTGTACTTTTTTTTTCTTTCTATTTTTCGTTAGTAAGCAATCATTGATTGAATCACGAATAGATTGGGATCATTCAGGTGTTAATTATCGCGACTATGTTAGATAAGTTGTACGTTTGATTGTAGTTCGATAAATAAAAAATATATATATTATATATTATATAATACTTTATATTATACTATACTATACTATATTTACTATACTATATTATACTATATTTATATTATGTTATATTTTATAATATATAATATATAATATATAATATATAATATATAATATAATATATCTTAATATATATAAATTACGTCACGTCATGTTGTTTGTCCGCAATGGACTCCTAAATTACTGAACCAATTTTAATAAAATTTAGCCCACTGTGTGCAGTTTCATCCAACTTAAAAGATAGGATATCTTAATATATATAAATTACGTGTCACGTTGTTTGTCCGCAATGGACTCCTAAACTACTGAACCGATTTTAATCAAATTTAGCACACTGTGTGCAGTTTCATCCAACTTGAAAGATAGAATAGTTTATATCTCCATTTATAATCGCAATATTATTTTATTAATCGCGAATTATTTGTTTATATATATATATTTTTAATTGAAAAAAAGAAATTGTTGTTGTATTAAGTTATTAATTATAAATTGTCTGATTACTCGGATTATTTTCATCTCGAAATCAGACATTTCATATTTAATGACCTAAAATTTATTTTATTAAAATATAAAACACTATGCTATATAATACAATTTTGTGTTTTACAATTAATGATAAGATACCAAAAAGAAGATACCTTGTTTTTTACACTATTACGATGTTTCAACAAGCAAATGAAATTTTAATGTCGGTTTTATTCGCAGATGTAATCGGTGTTCATAAGACCTCATTCAAATATTGATACCGAGATAAGGTTCACAAATCAAACACGATTTTCACCTTGATCGCGTTTTAAGAAATAAAATGATTTCTTTTTGGGGGAATTTTTCTTTTTTTTTTTTTTATAATACATAAATCTTCTTCTTCTTCTTTTTCTTCTTCTTTTTCTCATTACAATGTTACTTTATTAACTTTTTTAATTTTTATTTTTATCTTTATTTATATATTGTTTATAATTCAACAAAATCAAATATACAATATGAAATTTATTCAATGATTAGGACAAACAAGGGATAAACTTTTTCTCAATGTATCAACAAAGTGTAGAAAATAAAAATGAAGAAAAAACTGTAAAAAAAAGTGATGAGAGATAAAATTAAATGAAAAAAAAAAGAAATAATAATAAATAAATAAAAACAAACATAAGAAATTATACTATTCTGTGAAAACACGTTAAAGTTATTTCAAGTTATGGTTATGATGTTTCATATATACATGAAAAACAAGACGACGAGTTTTAATAATCAAACATGCAAAGGAAAAATTTCAAGATGTCAGTAAGATAAGACCTTTGTAATTGACTTTATTCACATTTACGTAAGTGGATATGTCGTATCATATAAACATATGTTTATATTTATATTTCTATCACGATTTTTCTCCTACAAATTAATTTGATTCTTCTTTTTTCTTTTTATACAAACTATGATTACTGAAATAAAAAAGTGTTTATATACTTTTGAAACTATTAAATGGACGTTGATTTGATTCATTTTTGTACAACTATGATCA